ATTGTCCTTGAAATTGATTGGTCCACACCAGAGACAGCTTTCTTTTGAGTCTCGTCTCAATCTGTGCTAGACCAGAGGACGCCAAAAGGCGTACAGCTCAAAGACGATGCACTATCAAAATAATGAGGGCTCGGGGTGAGCATCTACATCATCAGACCTCCTTTGCCAGTACACAAAATATACTAATAGGGTTTTTCCACTTTTTCTGGCAACAAAAACTGACACCTTTTGCAATGAATCATGCTTACATTAACCACAATACTTGCAGTCAAATGCAAACAAAAAACAATACTCTGATAATTTATGATTCCTTGCAAAAGGTGTCAGTTTTTGTTGCCAGAAAAAAAGGGGAAAACCCTATGAGTATATGTTGGTACTGGCAAAGGAGGTCCCATGATGTAGCTGCTCACCCCGAGCTCTCATTACTCTGGTAGTTGCGTTGTCTTTGAGTTGTGCGCCTTTTGGCGTCATCTGGTCGAACGCCATATGAGACTAGGCTCTAAAGAAAGCTGTCTCTGGTGTGGACCAATCAGTTTCAAAGACAATGCATAAATTATCAGAGTATTGTTTTTTGTTTGAATTTGACTGCAAGTATTGTGGTTAATGTAAGCATGATTCCTTGTAAAAGGTGTCAGTTTTGTTGCCAGAAAAAAGGGGAAAAACCCTATTAGTATATTTAGGTACTGGCAAAGAAGGTCTAATGATGATACGTTGATTACCATATAAATAACCCACACTGCAATGGATACCCATTGTCAATCATATGCATTCATTAATCTCCAACCAAACATTGCTCAAGAATTGCTCACAAGTTATGCCCCTCTATTCTTTGTTTTTTTCGGTAAAGTCACGTAGGTAAAAAATAAAATAAAATCACGACGTTTCGGAGGCAACACAAGCATCCGTCTACAGGTGGCACCGTCACAGCAAAATGACTGTCAATTGGAGAGAACTTTTTCACCTATGTGACTTTACCGAAAAAAACAAAGAGCATGGACCCTTGCAGTCACGAAAACTTCAAATCTAGAATGTCCCCCTCTGTTTAAGGAACGGAACAGGAGGATTTCTTCACGAATCTGGCTGTCGCCTGATGAAGCTGGTTGTAGTTACTCACGAAACGTCGTACTCAGATTGTAAATGTTGTGGCTTTGCTCTCCAATACACTGGTGTGCTGTACTAGTACACTACACTATACACTACACTATACACTACACTATACACTACTATACACTACACTATACACTACACTATACACTACACTATACACTACACTATACACTACACTACTATACACTACACTATACACTACACTATACACTACACTACTATACACTACACTATACACTACACTATACACTACACTATACACTACACTATACACTACACTACTATACACTACACTATACACTACACTACTATACACTACACTATACACTACTATACACTACACTACTATACACTACACTTCTATACACTACACTATACACTACACTATACACTACACTATACACTACACTACTATACACTACACTTCTATACACTACACTATACACTACTATACACTACACCACTATTCACTACACTACTATACACTACACTACGCACTACTATACACTACACTATACACTACACTATACACTACACTATACACTACACTACACACTACACTACACACAACACTATACACTGCACTACACTATACTATACACTACACTACACACTAGTGCTGTACTCGTGACGAATTGGCCACGTTCTGTTTACGTGACAACCCTCACTAGTTGGCTGTGTCGGCTGGTGGCGGGTTTCACGACACAACATTTATACATTTACGCGATCTCACCCAAAACACCTTTATTATAAACGAAACAAAAATCACTTCTAAAGAAACGAGTTTCCAATCAAGACGATGTAAAAGTGCATAGCTCCAGTGGCTTCCTAAGAACAGTGTAATGTATAGGAGGTATATAGTGTAGTGTATAGTGTAGTGTAATGTGTAGTGTATAGTGTAGTGTATAGTGTAGTGTAATGTGTAGTGTATAGTGTAGTGTATAGTGTAGTGTGTAGTGTATAGTGTAGTGTGTAGTGTATAGTGTAGTGTATAGTGTAGTGTATAGTGTATAGTAGTGTAGTGTATAGTGTAGTGTATAGTGTAGTGTATAGTGTAGTGTATAGTAGTGTGTAGTGTATAGTGTAGTGTATAGTAGTGTATAGTGTAGTGTATAGTGTATAGTAGTGTAGTGTATAGTGTAGTGTATAGTGTAGTGTATAGTGTAGTGTATAGTAGTGTATAGTGTATAGTAGTGTAGTGTATAGTGTAGTGTATAGTGTAGTGTATAGTGTAGTGTATAGTGTAGTGTATAGTAGTGTAGTGTATAGTGTAGTGTATAGTGTAGTGTATAGTAGTGTATAGTGTAATGTATAGTGTAGTGTATAGTGTATAGTAGTGTAGTGTATAGTGTAGTGTATAGTGTAGTGTATAGTGTATAGTAGTGTAGTGTATAGTGTAGTGTATAGTGTAGTGTATAGTAGTGTATAGTGTAGTGTATAGTGTAGTAGTATAGTGTAGTGTATAGTGTAGTGTATAGTAGTGTAGTGTATAGTGTAGTGTATAGTGTAGTAGTGTATAGTGTAGTGTATAGTGTAGTGTATAGTGTAGTGTATAATGTAGTGTATAGTGTAGTGTATAGTAGTTTGTATGTATGTACATTGAACTTCCTTCGCACTGTTGCTAGCCAACCGCGCTAGTCAGAGGTGCAGAGGGAAGGACAACAAACCAAACACAACAACGCAGTTGATAATTGTTTTTTACCCTTCTATCTGGCGACAAAACGGACACCTTTTTTTACAAGGAGTCAGGTTTGCATAGACCACAATACCTGCAGCCATTATGCAAACAAAAAACATAACTCTGATAATGTATGCACTGTCCTTGAAGTTGATTGGTCCACACCCGAGACAGCTTTCCTTAGAGCCTAGTCTCACATGGGTTGGACCAGATGACGCCAAAAGGCGCACAACTCAAAGACACTATGGGAACCTCATTTGCCAGTAAAAATATGATAATTGGTTGTTTACCCTTCTATCTGGCAACAAAACTGACACCTTTTTACAAGGAGTCATGTTTGCATAGACCACAATACCTGCAGTCATAATACAAACAAGTTATGTCTTTTGTTTGTATTATGACTGCAGGTATTGCGGTCTATGCAAACATGACTCCTTGTAAAACTCAAAGACAATGCACCATCAGAGTACGAGAGCTCGGGGTAAGCATTTACACCATTGTAACCTCATTTGCAAGTAAAAAACATAATACAACGCAGTTCTAAAGAAATTAGCTTTCAGCTGATATTTAAAAGTGCATCGTCCCAGCGGTTTCCTGATGTCGTCGTCCGAAAAGCAACGTTCCAGACGGCCGTAGGGGCGCATCCAGAAAGTGCGCGTTGCGGTGACCACCGTCTTTCACCACGACTATCCCCCATTACGTAAGTACGCCGAATTTGTTTCGCACCGTGCGTAGTTAACCGTGCTAACCGGAGGTAAAGCACAACAACCCATGGGTCGCCGCACGAGTCTATGGCACTGTATACAACAAACATCCAACGTATCGATTTAAAGCTTTCGTGACTGCAGGGATTCATCTTCTTGGTTCTTTCGGTAAAGTCACGTAGAAGGGAAATAATAAAATAATAAAAATAAAACATAATAAAATACAATTCTCACGACGTTTCGGCCACAACGCAAGCAGCCGTCCTCAGGTGGAGAACAGGTCTGTCGATAAGACAGCGTCTGAAGGACTCAGACTCTGTCTTATCGACGCAGTTCTTCTCGACAGACCTGTTCTTCACCTGAGGACGGCTGCTTGCGTTGTGGCCGAAACGTCGTGAGAATTGTATTTTATCATGTTTTATTTTCATTACTTTATTATTTCCATTCTACGTGACTTCACCGAAAGAACCAAGAAGATCCAACGTATCCTCCACCCAACGCAAACCCCTAGACCTCTCGCCTCTGCGGCGATTCGGAAACGACGACGACCTTCACCGCCTCCTCCGCCTTATCCCAGCGGCAGAAGTGGTAGTAGGTCTGCAGCGCAAGCGCGCCCACCGCCAGCGGGAAGAACAGCGGCCACACGGACCACGCGTGCAAGACGCACATCGCCAGCAGGCCCAAGGCCAGCACGGCCGCGCCGCGCCGGGCCACCCGGCTCCACGATCGTCGCTCGCTCTCTGCCAGCGACCGATCCAGGGCGGGACCCGACTCGCGCCAACGGTGCAAGAGCTCGTCGCTTTCGGCCGGGTCGGGCCGGATGTCTGCACCGGCCGGGATGAATTCGTAGCCGCCGTCGTCGGATGAGGAAGACGCGGCGTTGGCAAGTGCTGCCGCCGATGTTGTTGCGTGTTCGCACGTTGAATTTGGTTCGCTCCGCACGGAGCCAAGCGCGGTCGTCGGAGTTGCTGATGAGGGCGGTGACGGTGATGATGGTGGGTTGGAGTGGATTCGGTCAGTCCGCTCGCCGTGTGGCCGCATGACACAATTGCTGCCAAGCTGCGGGGCACACATACACACCGGGTACATAATGGGACCTCCTTTGCCAGTACCAAAATATACTAATAGGGTTTTTCCCCTTTTTTCTGGCAACAAAACTGACACCTTTTGCAAGGAATCATGTTAACATTAACCACAATACCTGCAGTCAAATGCAAACAAAAAACAATACTCTGATAATAGATGCATTGTCTTTGAAACTGATTGGTCCACACCAGAGACAGCTTTCTTTGGAGCCTAGTCTCATATGGTGTTTGACCAGATGACGCCAAAAGGCGCACAGTTCAAAGACAACGCATTATCAGAGTAACGAGAGCTCGGGGTGAGCAGCTACATCATGGGATCTCCTTTGCCAGTACCAAAATATACTAATAGGGTTTTTCCCCTTTTTTCTGGCAACAAAACTGACACCTTTTGCAAGGAATCATGCTTACATTAACCACAATACTGGTGTGGACCAATCAGTTTCAAAGACAATGCATACATTATCAGAGTATTGTTTTTTGATTGCATTTGACTGCAGGTATTGTGGTCTATGCAAACATGACTCCTTGTAAAAAGGTGTCATTTTTTTGCTAGATAGAAGGGTAAAAAAACAATTATCAGCTCTGAGTACACATACATAATCTGATTCAGATCTGCCGGTCATCTGAGTCGTCAGTCAACCCATGGCATCTGCTGCTGATGGCACCAACACTGTGAATCAGATTGATGTTTCTAGATTTGAAGCTTTCGTGACTGCAAGGATTCATATTCTTAGGTTTTTTCGGTAAAGTCACGTAGGTAAAAAATTAAAATTAATTAAAGTAAAATAAAAATAATTTTTTACCTACGTGACTTTACCGAAAACACCTAAGAATATGAATCAGATTGATGTGTTTATGCTGTAGGAATCCGATGATCTATAAAAAAAATTATTTCGTTTAATTTTTATTATTTTATTATTTACCTGTACTTCACCTGAGGACGGCTGCTTGCGTTGTGGCCGAAACGTCGTGAGAATTGTATTTTATTATGTTTTATTTTTATTATTTTATTACTTCCCTTCTACGTGACTTTACCGAAAGAACCAAGAAGATGAAATCGCTGTTCTAACGCGACGAGATGATGATGTTTGTGGGGGTGCACTGGCTTAGACGTGAACTCTACCTCGGAGTTGATCCCTGTGGGTTCGATCCCATACCCCTTTGAAGGTACCTGGGAGCTTGCAGCGTGTTGTGAGTTCTCGCTTTATCGCCCTCAGCCACGTGGTCGCGTGGATTGTTTTGTGTCTTTTTCCGGGTCTTTAGTTTGCGTGTTTTTTAATTCTTCACTTTACCTTACCTCACACCCCCAGAATCGATATCAGCACGCGTTGAATTTAATCGATTATCTGGCCGTTGTTATCAATAATGTCCACACGATGATGGTGATGATGAGTCGAACACTGCGTTGACATTCGCGAAGGCCCAGATTGCTGTATCTGGGCAAATATAAAGATATTAAACATAAAAATCCACGCAGCAGCAGCTCGGCGAGGCCTTTACGATGCTCAGACGAAAATTAAATGTTTATTAATGTAACTTAAGTAAAGTTAACGATGTTGGTAATTTAACGATTCATCCATCAGTAGATTAGAACCCACGGCAATTTATGTTAAGGTTATTTTTTGCATTTACAAAGGAGACACGGGTTCCCGCGTTGGCTTGTCTAAGAGGGGGTGATGTAATTAGTTAAGTAAAGATTATTAATTAGCTTAGATAACTTATAATTTGCTTAGAGCTAACTTCTAAGCTGTGTTCGCGCCCGAGTTACGCGTGCGCGTTTCGCTCGCTCGCGACCGTCTTCGGCCACCGTAGGAATCGATTAACACGAATACACAGGTTCGGTTATTCGATTCTTTATTTTTAAAACGCAATTATTTGGATGGTTACTGGTTAAATTGGATTGCGAATCGATTTTACGCGATCAAGAAAGGGGGCGTGAATCCACGTGGTGAGTTTTTTTTTCATTTAAATTCGTGTTTGATTTTTAGTGCGAGTTTGTTTGAATTCGATTCCGATTTATTTATGGAATCGACTTGCCTCCTGATTAGCCGCCCTACTCAATACACATTCGATTCTGACATTAGCAAACAATTTAGCGAATCGATTCGTATGCAGTGACTCGGAACGTGGAATCGATTCTCGTTTACACGCGATTATCTCACAGCTCGTCATCTATCCGGCGACGCAAAGGAATCGATTCCGCAACTCGATTCCTCATCGCACTCGCTTAACGTGGCGAATCGAACGCGGACGACTTATCCGGATCGATCCTCCAACCGCCATTCGACTGAACGGGGCAGCTTCACGCTGTTGGTCTTGCTGCGGCTTCCATCGAATCTTCCTCGTTTCTTTAACAACTCGGACGACGTTTATCGCGCGGACATCGACGATCGAACTCTAAACACTTCAGCTCCAGATGACGCCCAGTTTGGCGGCTCGAGACGACGAGCCTGGCCCGATGTTTACGGATTCTTTTCGGCAACATTGGCGGACCTCCACTGCACGTGAGTAGCCGCAATGGCGGGGAATGTGGGGGGGGGGGGGGTCACGTGGGGCTGTACGCGTGATTTAATAAATGCGTTTGTATTATTGTACACTTCTAAAACACTTAGATTTTTTTGGTTCTTTCGGTAAAGTCACGCTGGATATTTTTTTACGCCTGAGGACGACCTCTTGTGTTGCGATCGAAACGTGATTTTTTTTTATTTTGTACCTAACGTGACTTTATTACAGATCAATTCAGACATTGTTGGTCGCCTCGTACCCTTATACATCTCAACGTTCATCCTACAGAGTCTCATCGCAAGGGAGGAACGCAAACAAACAAGGCAACTTTTAGTTTGCCCGTATTGAAACGGCTGTACGCCGTCGTATGGACCAGAAAACTAAAGTTTCCCTGTACAAGAATACGGGGTAGACCGTATGGGTTGACACGGTGTTGTACGGGGTTGTATAAGTTGCCAAACAAGATTCAGAAGCACCATTGGAACCTCATTTGCCAGTAAAAAATATGATAATTGTCTTTTTTACCCTTCTATCTGGCAACAAAACTGACACCTTTTTTTTACAAGGAGTCATGTTTGGTGTAAATGCTTCACCCCGAGCTCTCATACTCTGATGGTGCATTGTCTTAGAGTTGTCCGCCTTTTGGCGTCATCTGGTCCAACACATGTGAGACTAGGCTCTAAGGAAAGCTGTCTCGGGTGTGGACCAATCAACTTCAAGGACAGTGCATACATTTTCAGAGTTATGTTTTTTGTTTGCATTATGGCTGCAGGTATTGTGGTCTATGAAAACATGACTCCTTGTAAAAAAGGTGTCAGTTTTGTTGCCAGATAGAAGGGAAGAAAAACAATTATCAAGATTGAGAAGTGTTGGTGATCTTCTTGGTTCTTTCGGTAAAGTCACGTAGAAGGGAAGTAATACAATAATAAAAACAAAACACAATAAAATAATTATTTTATTATGTTTTAAATAATAAAATAATACAAATAAAACATTGTAAAATAATTATTTTATTATGTTTTAAATAATAAAAATAAAACATAATAAAATAATTATTTTATTATGTTATATTTTTATTATTTTATTACTTCCCTTATACGTGATTTTACCGAAAGAACCAAGAAGATGAATCCCTGCAGTCACGAAAGAAGCTTTAAATCGAAAAGTGTTAGTGAGTTAAAGCAAAGCAACTTTGGGGAGGGCAGAATTGATGGGAACCCTCCAGGCTGGAATGATGATGAACAATTATCTCGAGTCCTGAATCCTGACGGTCTCAAATATTAAGTAAACGCTTTCTGACCGCCTGGAGGGTTGATTCCCCGACCCCCCCGTGGGTTATTGCAGTTGCTGGCGGCTTGGATTGCAGCGGCCACCCCGGTAAACTTTGCTGGGCGTGTGAACTGCTGTTCACATTTCGATGTAAAGCTTTCGTGACTGCAGGGATTCATCTTCTTGGTTCTTTCGGTAAAGTCACGTAGAAGGGAAATAAAACATAATAAAATAATTCTCACGATGTTTCGGCCACAACGCAAGCAGCCGTCCTCAGGTGAAGAACAGGTCTGTCGGGAAGACAGCGTCTGTTCTTCACCTGAGGACGGCTGCTTGCGTTGTGGCCGAAACGTCGTGAGAATTATATTATTATTTCCCTTCTACGTGACTTTACCGAAAGAATCAAGAAGATGAGTACGTCGTAGTTTTTATTTTTATTAATTTTTATTAATTTGAACATGTTTACGTGGCTTTTACCGAAAGACCCAAAGAATGCTGATGTTTGAATTTATATCTTTCTCTAATAGAGGCTGCTGGAAATGGAGAGATTGGTTGAATCGTCGCTTGGGCAACATCCTCCTGATCGTCGAGAAGATGAAAGTTCTTCTCCCCACCAGAGGTCTCGACATCACATCACAAGTGAACTTCATGCCGCTACTACTATACCACTACACTACCATACCTGTCAAGCCCTTAGCAGTGCCCTACCTTATTACAGACCAATTCAGACATTATTGGTCGCCTCGTACCCTTATAAATCTCAACGTTCATCCTACAGAGTCTCATCGCAAGGGAGGAACGCAAACAAATAGACAACTTTTAGTTTGCCCGTATTGAATTCGGAGGTCAAACGGGCAATCGCTACTTGAAACATCCTGTACGGCTGAGACGCGTATGGGCAGCGTGCATGACGCTTGCCCAGACAAAGGTTTTACCGCGGTGTGAGAGGCTCGGTTATAACACGTAGCTCTCACCGAGTGTATTTTTGTATGATTTTATGCAATGTAATTACTGTAAACTTCGTGTAAAAATGCTTTACAACGAGAGATTTCTTGTGTCTGGAACCAATTGATGTCATTTACATTAATTCTTATGGGGAAAGTTAATTCGGTGTTCGAACAAAATCGGTGTTCGAATGGCTCGATCTCCGGGGTAGCACTGTACAAGAATATGGGGATGACCGTATGGGTTGACACGGTGTTGTACGGGGTTGCATGAGTTGCCAAACACAAGACTGAGATGCGCCGGTGAGTTAAAGCAAAGCAACTTTGGGGAGGGCAGAATTGGTGGGAACCCTCCATGCTGGAATGATGATGAACAATGATCTCGAGTCCTGAATCCTGACGGTCTCAAATATAAAGTAAACGCTTTCTGACCGCCTGGAGGTTCATTCCCCGACCCCCCCGTGGGTTGTTGCAGTTGCTGGCGGCTTGGATTGCAGCGGCCGCCCCGGTAAACTTTGCTGGGCGTGTGAACTGCTGTTCACATTTCGATTTAAAGCTTTCGTGACTGCAGGAATTCTAATTCTTTGGGTCTTTCGGTAAAGTCACGGAGATAGGGAAAGTTTTCCCTCCCTGTTTTCCTCCTGATGACGATCGCTTGTGTGTTGTGATCTAAACGTCGTAGTTTTGTTTATTTTATTAACACATTCCTGCGGAGGGAGCTGGTAGGAACGTTGGGTTGCTCGGTCAATGGCCAGGGTCAACGGCGGCGTGGGGTATTCCGCAAATATGCCCGACTGTGAGGGGGCGGGCACAAGCCGGCGTGAGTAGGTTAAACGTTGAGTTTTATAAGGGCACCACGGGGTGACCAGCCCCATCCCACCCAGCCCCTCCCTCCCCATCCTCCCCACCCAGCCCCTCCCCACCCAGCCCCTCCCCACCTTCCCCTCAACACCCAGCCCCACCCCACCCTCCCCACCTACTCCACCCAGCCCCTCCCCACCCAGCCCCTCTCCACCCAGCCCCACCCCTCCCATTTTTGGATGCACGACGGACGAACACAATAATCCCCTGTGGGCTGGTGGAACCAGGTGGTTCCTGCCAGTTTATTTGAACATATTTACGTGAATTAACCCAAAAGACCCAAACAATGCTGATGTTTGAATTTATATTTTTCTCAATAACAGAGGCTGCTGGAAATGGAGAGATTGGTTGAATCGTCGCTTGGGCAACATCCTCCTGATCGTCGACAAGATGGAAGTTCTTCTCCCCACCAGAGGTCTCGACATCACATCACAAGTGAACTTCATGCCGCTAAAAAAAAAAAAATATGTCGTTCGTGAAGATTTACAAGTCACGAGGTACACGGGCAGATATTGGTGGCCTCCAATCCAGCACGTGGGGCAGCGAGGGTCACATGGTGGGAAAATCCTTTGGCGTTGGTATCAATAAGGAGCCATATACCCTGGTAAACAACGGTGTTCCTACTCTTTACGTTTTTTCGGTAAAGTCACGTAGGTAAAAAATAATGATAAAATGAAAATAAATTTGGCTGTGACGGTCCCACCTGAAGACGGAGACTTGTGTTGCCTCCGAAACGTCGTGATTTAATTGAGTTATTTTCATTAATTATCATTTTATTTTTTATTATTTTTCACCCACGTGACTTTACCGAAAAAACCTAAGAGTATGAATCCTCGCAGTCACGAAAGCTACAAATCTACAATCACGGCGTTCCTCTTGAGCGATAGGAAAACAAGTATAACCCGTAAAAACAAAGTTTTTCACTCTAAATCCTTTATATGCGTGGCGGCTAGAGTCCTCTCGTCCTCTGGCTTGAGATGGCTGCCACCTATGGGTCAGATTGTCTGCAGTATTAAACAATTGGTAATTAAATATTTAATTTGTTTTCCCTAAACAGTGTAAAATTTTGGAAAAAAAATTTCACGAACATTAATTGTCACGCACAACGAGTCTGTGTGCAAAATGTCAGCTCGATTGGATCACGGGAAGTGGGTTAAAAAACGACCGAAAGGTTTGCACGGTCGCAAGCAAGCGAACTTAATATAAAGGATTTTAAAAAAAAAATCTGTTTGCCGTGAATGCTGAGTGCAACGGTGTATTGATTCGCGAATGGTGTTGGTTGGGGTGGCAGGAGGGAAGGAGGGTGGTGGGTGTTTATCGGGCACCTCCAGGATCGCGTGATGATGAATACTCGAGTCCTGAATCCTGACGGCCTCAACAAAGTAAACGCTTTCTGACGGCCTCGGAGGTGACCCCCTACAGCCCTCCCTGCTGGGGTCGAGGTTCCAGCCCGGCGTCCACCCTGGTTAACGCTGCCGGGCGTAGGCTGGCGTCTACCTCCCCTCCGCACTCAAGTTCAAGTTCATTTATTAGTCTTCTTGGTTCTTTCGGTAAAGTCACGTAGAAGGGAAGTAATAAAATAATAAAACATAATAAAATAATTCTCACGACGTTTCGGGCCACAACGCAAGCAGCCGTCCTCGGGTGAAGACCAGGTCTGTCGGGGAGACAGCGTCTGAATGAAACAGCACCATGCTTGGAGCGACTATTTAAGCTGGGTTGGAAGGGGGGGGAAGGGCGCCTTGACAAAATAATTTGCTTATCAAGAGGAATTTCGCATATTTATGGGAAATGCAGGTATGTGATTAGTACTAGTGAAATGCGTAGGAGGTGGGCGTGGGGGTTTCAAAGTCATATGCCCGTGCATTATGCAGGATTAGCAGCATCATGTATTAGGTATAGTCCTGTGAACCATTCGGCTCTTGAATCGGGTGCAACCACAACAAACAAAAACATGAACAAGATAAGATCTTAAAATGAATGTGACTTAAGTGCAAACAGAAAATCCAAGAAAAGACAGCAAAATATTGCAGAAAAAACACCGTACACCAACGCTGTGTGCAAACATCCCAGTGGGATTCAAGTCAAACAACAACAACCACAAGACAACTTAGATTAAGGCCATCAGTCTAACTGATGGCCAAACCAGTAAACTTTTCGAAATCACCAAAATAAAGCAATGAAACAGTGATCATAGGAACTGTGATGTAATTTTCACAATAAACGACATCAACAACATGTACCACCAAAACTCTGCAGCCATAGCTGGCTGCATGAGTCACTCCACAACAGTAGGAGCATCAATCGGAGTATTATAATTTTTCAATGCACCTTTAAGATCAGCACACTCAATCAAAACACAGGTCATACTTTGGAGTTGGTCAACTTGGACCAACGGAACAAGGACACCCACCCCACTCCCTTTTAGCACGGGCCTTGACACTTTACCAGTTATAAACAATCGTGCATTTTTAAATCCTTTATATTAAGTTCACTTGCGCGCTTACGACCGTGCAAATCTTTCGGTCGTTTTTTAACCCACTTCCCGTGATCCAATCGAGCTGACATTTTGCGCACAGACTCGTTGTGCGTGACAATTTATTTTCGTAAAAAATTTTTTCCAGACTTTAACACTTTTTAGGAAAATTTTTTTTTATATTTAATTACCAATTGCTTAATGGTGGCAGGCAATCATCTGACCCATAGGTGGCAGCCATCTCAAGCCAGAGGACGAGAGGACTCTAGCCGCCACGCATATAAAGGATTTATAGTGAAAAACTTTGTTTTTACGGGTTAATTTTTTCACTTGTTTTAAACAATGACCCGCGTGGTTTTTTTCGTTTTATTTTCTCAGAATGTGGAAACGTCCGTTGGAATTGCCGGCGGCTGTCACCTCCATCCGGCCGTTGAGATGACAGAAGAGTTTCCTGCTGGAGGGTCAGTAACACAAGTCACACGCTTGCGCACACGTACACGCTCAAACTCCTTTTGAGGCTCCCTTAATGCGCTGGATTAGCAGCTTGTGCATCGGATGTCCACGCCCGTAGAGTGACATCGGTTCCCTGTCGCAGTTTTAGCGCCACGGTGGCGAGATGTTAACTGCCTCGCCTGGTGTACAGGAGGTCGTGAGTTCGATCCCGACCCTTACACCTGCTGCTGTATATTTGGAGTTTGCGTGTCTCTCTCTCAGCATCATCATCACAGTGGTAGGAGATGTTGTCTGCCTCGCCTGGTGTACAGGAGGTCGTGGGTTCGATCCCAAACCCTTGACGCCTGCTGTATATTTGGAGTTGCATGTCTCTCTCTCATCATCATCGCAGTGGCTAGGAGATGTTGTCTGCCTCGCCTGGTGTACAGGAGGTCGTGCGTTCGATCCCAAACCCTTGACGCCTGCTGCTGTATATTTGGAGTTGCATGTCTCTCTCATCATCATCACAGTGGCTAGGAGATGTTAACTGCCTCGCCTGGTGTGCAGGAGGTCGTGGGTTCGATCCCGACCCCGACGCCTGCTGTATAATTGGAGTTGCATGTCTCTCTCTCATCATCATCACGGTGGCTAGGAGATGTTAACTGCCTCGCCTGGTGTGCAGGAGGTCGTGGGTTCGATCCCGACCTTGACGCCTGCTGTTTATTTCGACTTTGCGTGTCTCTCTCCCTGTGGTTGGGTGGATTTTTTTTCCGGGTCCTCTGCTTTTCCCCTTCACGTTTAGAATCGACGTCACGCGTTTAGGGTGTTTGGCTGCAATACATTTCCACGCGATAAGCCGCTTCGTCGAGCGATCGTTTGTGGTGGCTACGTAGCTCAGTGGACCTTACCTGGTAAAAAAATTATATTCTTAGTTCTTTAGGTAAAGTCACGTAGAAGGGAAATAAAAAAATAAAATAAAAATAAAACAATAAAAATTCTCACGACGTTTCGACTGCAACACAAGCAATCATCATCAGGTGTAAAATCCACAAATTTTCTTGCTGTGGATTTCACACCTGATGATGGTTGCTTGTGTTGTAGTCAAAATGTCGTGAGAAATTTTGTTATATTTTTATCATTTTATTATTTCCCTTCTACGTGACTTTACCGAAAGAACCAAGAATATGAATCCCTGCAGTAATAAAATTATTATTGTATTATGTTATATTTTTATTATTTTATTATTTCCCTTCCACGTGACTTTACCGAAAGAACCAAGAATATGAATTCCCTGCAGTCACGAAAGCTTTAAATAAAACAATTGTAATAGTTTAAAGGTAAGCAGCGCTGCTTTGGAACAATCCTATATCGTGCTATTGCATTGTGGACAATAAACCTCACAAACTCGTCAGTATTCGATAATTGTTTTTTACCCTTCTATCTGGCAACAAAGCTGACACCTTTTTTACAAGGAGTCATGTTTGCATAGACCACAATACCTGCAGTCATAATGCAAACAAAACACACAACTCTGATAATGTATGCACTGTCCTTGAAGTTGATTGGTCCACACCCGAGACAGCTTTCCTTAGAGCCTAGTCTCACATGGTGTTGGACCAGATGACGCCAAAAGGCGCACAACTCAAAGACAATACACCATCAGAGTATGAGAGCTCGGGGCAAAGCATTTACACCATTGGAACCTCATTTGGCAGTAAAAAATGTGATAATTGGTTTTTTACCCTTTTATCTGGCAACAAAACTGACACCTTTTTTACGAGGAGTCATGTTTGCATAGACCACAATACCTGCAGTCATAATGCAAACAAAAACACACAACTCTGATAATGTATGCACTGTCCCTGAAGTTGATTGGTCCACTCCCGAGACAGCTTTTCTTAGAGCCTAGTCTCACATGGGTTGGACCAGACGCCAAAAGGGGCACTTCAGTATTCCTCAGTAAAAATAAAGATTCTGAATCGGCGAGCTCCTGTTGTTGCGCACTCCCCACCCCCCACCCCTCCCTCCCTGCCGGATGTGATGACGTCTCTGAGCCCCGATTCTCTGTGAGGGTCTCTTAAAGTAAACGCTCTGATCCGTGCCACTGAGTGGGGGAGGCACCCCTTGGGGTGATGGTGGGGAGGGGGGCGTTGTAGCGGCAGCTGATGTCACCTCCGGCAATGCTGCCACTCCGCCGTTCCTTGCCGACGAAAGGCGACGTTATTGTCCGTCGTGGAAATCGTCAATTTGAGCAGCTCGGTTGATGCAGGAGGTTGTTTTTTTTGGGTTGGCGTAAATATAAATGTGTCGTTAAACCCGTCACTACCCGACACGGCCAATGTGTAAGATTTGTCACGTAAACAGAACATGGCCAATTCGTCATTATTCTTGGTGCTTTCGGTAAAGTCATGTAGAAGGGAAATAATACAATTATAAAACAATACAAAATTCTCACGAATAAGAAAAAATAATAAGAAAATGTTCTTGCTGTGGATTTCACACCTGATGACGATTGCTCGTGTGGCAGTCGAAACGTCGTGAGAATTTTTATTGTTTTATATTTTTATTATTTTATTACTTCCCTTCTACGTGACTTTACCGAAAGAACCAAGAATATGAATCCCTGCAGTCACGAAAGCTTTAAATCGAAATTTAATTCGTCATTAGTTTACTTGGTTAAGCGCTTAACCGGTTGTTGTTGTGTTCATAAAAGCGGTTGTTGTTGTTGTGGGTTAGATCGTGTAAACCTAAATGTGTCGTCTTGGTTCTTTCGGTAAAGTCTTTTCGGTAAAGACTTTACCGAAAGAACCAAGAAGATGAATCCCTGCAGTCACGAAAGCTTTAAATCGAAATCTAAATGTGTCGTTAAACCCGCCACCACCCGACAACCAACTGGTTAAAATTTCACGTAAGCAAAGCGTGGCCAATTCGTCACTAGTACAGCAACACTGGTTGTGTGTTGGAGAGCAAATCCACAACTTTTACAATCTTAGACGTTTCGCCAGTGATTACAACCAGCATCACCACGCGCTAGCCAGATTTGTGAAGAAATCTTACACTAATTTACTCAAAACCTTACTAATTGGCTGTGTCGGATGGTGGCGGGTTTAGCGACACATACATTTTACTCGATCTAACCCAAAATAAACTCGTGGATGATATTGTGCAACTCGCTGTAGATGCATGTTGGTGTTTGTCGTTGTAGTTTAGAGGAAAGCATCCCCCCACACCCCCACTGAGGTGTTGCTGTAATTGGGTACAGGATGTCTGACTGACATTTTCTTTAATATTTGTTTAATTCTCAGACTGAAGGCTGGCACGGAGGGAACCGTTGGAACGGGTGTCACCTGTAAGATCGTCTCGTCTTGGAGAAGGTGAATATCTGCGCCTGTTGTCTGTACAGAAAATTAAACAACGGCATCAACCGCCGGTCACCACTAAGTGGCGGTGACGTGACACTGCAACGCTTGCGCCAGGCTAGGTGCACTTTGAGGCCACGTCAAGTGTCGAAGGCCTGCGGGCAGGAGGTCATGGAACACACCCAGGTGCCATGCGTTGACTGACCGAGATGACTGGCAGATGCACCACCTGGGCTGCCCATTGTTGCAACTTCGTTTTAGCCGCCCGACGCTCTTGCTGTTATTGTGAGCGTCGCTCCTCTGCCCTTCGTTGTTGCTGGAGCGTGACTGCCAGAGGTCGCAAACGGGTTTTGATTCTTTACCCGTACCCGGCCGCACCAGGGTCGCAAATGGGTACCCGTACCCGGCTGGGTACGAGTATCCGTTCGCTACCTGTACCCTACCCGAAATGAGTGACAAACGGTGACTCACCAGTGACTCACGGCCTACCCGTACCCAGCCGCACCAGTGTTGCAAACAGGTACCCGTACCCTTAGCTGCCCGGGTACGGGTAGCCGGGTATCAGGTAGGCTACGGGTACTCGGTTGCGACATCTGGTGACTGCCTCCAAACTCCCCAGTCGCATCCTAATCCTACCAACAACAAAGACCCCCCCCCCCCCCGTATAGCATTTAACAGACTGTTGGGGCAAGTGCTGTTAGCGAGTAGCACCTATGAAGGCTGACACGGCACACGAGGGGACGGGTGGCCAACACCACGCCCCAACCGCCTTTGTCTCCCCAGTGCCGAGGCGATGTTTACACATCTCGCCAGATTCTTGTTTGAGGCTGAGTTGACCTTGGGGTGGACCAGGACCGGTTCAGATAATCGTCACTGGTGTTGGCCGTGAGCGGGAATCTCGGTTGGCTGGGTTCGTAGCGCAGCGCGCCAACCACCGTTCCACCGCGCGAACTTTATAACCAGGTCGGTGCAAGGAAAATCTGTTGCTGTTAGAATTCTAAGAAACGGTTCAATCTTGATTTGAATCTTTCGTGACTGCAGGAATCCACACTCTATGATTCTTTCGGTAAAGTCACGTAGAGTAGAAAAGAAATCGCGACGTTTCGGGCGCAACGCAAGCGTCCGTCATCAGATGGCAAAGCGACGGCAGATGCTTGTGTTGCGCCCGAAACGTCGTGATTTATTTTATGTTTCTACCCACGTGACTTTACCGAAACAAAGCAAAGAGTATAATTCTAAGAACGGTTGCGTGCCTGTGTCTCCCCGGCCGGATGTGATGATGTCTCTGAGCCCCGAGTTTCTGTGAGGGTCTCTTAAAGTAAACGCTCTGATCCGTGCCACTGGATGACATTGGGGGGTGGGTTAAGGAAGTTATTGGAGGTCATCTGAGGTCATCAGAGGTCAGCGATTGTGCCACGCGTCACCCGCTCTCTCGTTCTCGTTGTGTTACAGGCGGAGGCACGGGCTCGGCACTGGATACATCGACTCGTTCGGTCGGCGTCTGAATCCGGAGGTCGACAGTTCAATAGGTACTGGCGGGTGGGGGGGGGGGTTAATCAACCTGCCCCCCCCCATGCTCCCATTGTTTCAACTTCCACGCCCGGGAGATGGAATTAAAGCGAAAGAAATGCCCATGTGTTAAGAAATTTTAAGCAAATGAAAATGAGAGCAAAGATGAAAATTGTCGCGGAAATGTTTTTGCAAGTGGAGATTAAAGCTCTATCTAAAGTGAAATATTAAATTCCCTGCAGCCACACTACACTGAACTTTTTACTGGTAGGAACCTCCTGGTTACACCAGCCCACATGGGATTATTGTGTCCATCGTGCAGAGAGGGGCTGGGTGGGGAGGGGCTGGTCACCCCGTGGTGCCCTTATAAAACTCAACGTTTAACCTACTCACGCCGGCTTGTGCCCGCCCTCACAGTCGGGCATATTTGCGGAATACACCACGCCCTGGCCGTTGACCCTGCAGGCCATTGACCTGAGCAACCCAACAACGTTCCTACCAGCTCCCTCCGCAGGACAATGTGTTCTCTTACCAGGTAAAACTACACTGAGTTGTATCGCTCTGTTTCAACGGTGACCCGGCCATTGCGAATGATCGCTCAACGGGGAGCGGCTTCTAATGTGGAAATGTATAGCAGCCAAATACTCTAAAACGCGTGATGTTGATTATTACATGTGGAGGGAGAAAAAATTAACCCGTAAAAACAAAGTTTTTCACTCTAAATCCTTTATATGCGTGGCGGCTAAAGTCCTCTCGTCCTCTGGCTTGAGATGGCTGCCACCTATGGGTCAGATGATTGTCTGCCAGCATTAAGCAATTGGTAATTAAATATTTTAAAAAAATTCCCTAAACGGTGTAAAATTTTGGAAAATGTTTTTCACGAACATTAATTGTCACGCACAACGAGTCTGTGTGGAAAATCTCAGCTCGATTGGATCACGGGAAGTGGGTTAAAAAACGACCGAAAGATTTGCACGGTCCTAAGCAAGCAAGCACGCAAGCAAGCGAACTTAATATGAAGGATTTTATAAACGGGAGAGAAATTCACACGACCACTAGACTTTCACCATCTGACACTGTTTTAGCCCGATATATGAGCGTCTTGATAAGAGAGGATTTCTGAGCTGGGTGATGATGCGAATCTGCATTCAGATAGGCATCAGTGTGCGTTGGCTTTCTGTAAACGCTGTGTTATTTTACCGGAATGAAACGAACTCGCGACCCTCCCGTATACCCGGCGAGATGGTTGACTTTGTGTTTCGTGCCTTCCACCGGTTCCCAATTTGGGATGCCCTCCCAATAATCTCTTCTTTACGACCTCTTGTATTGTCCTTGCTTCCTTCAATAAATGTGTTACAACTTTGATGAGTGTTGTTCACGTTTTTGTGACTGACTAAGCAAACATCCAGAGCAAGCCATCGACTGCCAGGTGGATGTTGTAAGAGCGAGCGCGTGTGCGGTTATAATGTTTGTACCACCTGAGATTTGAATCGCCTACAAGAGTGATTCATGAAATAAAGGGCCGTTCATAAATGACGTCACGCACCTGAGGGGGGGGGGGGGGTCGGACATTTGTGACGGGGGGAGGGGGGTTGAGAATTGTGACGTCACATAAAAATGCGCAACTTTAAATAAATATAGACAACACGTTCTACTTAATTAAATAGACTTTGTAATAAATGTTTTCTCCTACAACAGAGTGCAGCGCCACATTAAACACGCACTACAATGACAATAGTTAAAGCAATTTGAAGCATGTTTTATTTTCAAAATGTAAATATGGGTTGGGGGGGGGGGCAGAGCTTTGTGACGTCATAGTTGAGGGGGGTCAGACTTTTTGTGACGAAGGGGGGGGGGGTCAAAAATCGTCCAAAATCGCGTGACGTCATTTATGGATGGCCCCGAACGTTGATGCGAATGCAATCGCAGTGGTGAGATGAGGCCCCAGGCCAATGGATTTCAAAGTGCCATAAATAACACTGGTCAACACTTTCTGGCATAAGGTATTCCAACAGTTTTAAGGTAATTTTGGGGTGCTGATTCCAAATCTATCACATCAGGTTTTTGAGATATCAAATATTGCATTTTCAATAAAAACTGCAGAAGAAAAATATTAAATAAATGGATATCTACATAAAATTATATTATAAACACACTATTCTAAAAATACAGCACCATATTTTAACACTAAAGCATTCACTGACTTGCAACAACTTGCAATCATAAGTGACAGAGTTAATTTCGGGTAAAATCAATGAAAATGGGGTATGCCGATAGCTAAAAATGAGATGTGATAGAGCAAATCTGAGATCAGATTTGGAATCGGCACCCTGAAATTAGTCTAGAACAGCTGCAAAAGTCCAGGCCAGAATTTTTTTTTTGTTGACCAGTGTTATCAGTGCATGATTGCATGTTCTCAAGTACGTGTGGTTAAGGCAGACGGTGATTCCTTGCAAAAGGTTTCTTTTTGGTGTTTGGAGACGTCTTGGGACCTGTTTGAAATGCCACGAAGGCTAAAACCTATTTGGTTCTTTATACAACTGCTCCTATTGGCCACTGAGAATGAAACTGGTATCGCTTCATATGTTTTAAATCCTTTATATTAAGTTCACTTGCGTGCTTGCTTGCGCGCTTAGGACCGTGCAAATCTTTCGGTCGTTTTTTAACCCACTTCCCGTGATCCAATCGAGCTGACATTTTGCACACAGACTCGTTGTGCGTGGCAATTTTCGTGAAAGAAAATTACCAGACTTTTACACTTTAGGATTTTTTTTTATATGTAATTACCAATTGCTTAATGGTGGCAGGCAATCATCTGACCCACAGGTGGCAGCCATCTCAAGCCAGAGGACGAGAGGACTCTAGCCGCCACGCATATAAAGGATTTATAGTGAAAAACTTTGTTTTTACAGGTTAATTTTTTTGGTCAACTCTAGGTGGGTGCCAACGTTTGCCCAGGATCCGTGAACTAAATTGTGAAAATAAAATATTAAAAAAAAACTATTTTTTTAAAACACGCTTTAATGAAATGTACTGTCTGAGCTGCACCTCCCCCTGCCCCCTTCCCCCATCGCCCCTCCCCTCCTTCCACATCCCCCGCCCCTGGGCGTGGCTTGCCGTGACGTAAGGGACCGTGGTGATTTACAGGCAACGTGAGTTGAGCGTCGACAGTTAGAGCCGTAAACGTGGACATTTAGAGCCGTAAAAAAGATTGTTCAAAAAATATATATTTTTTATTTTCAATGACAGAATATCGTTTTGTCATCAGTATGACATAGCTATACAATGTTTGCAGTCGATAGCACATTGGGAAATGGGTAAAAATTAAGTTACAAGATTTCTTTTTAAATCCTTTATATTAAGTTCGCTTGCTTGCCTGCTTGCGTGCTTGCTTGCTTGCTTACGACCGTGCAAACCTTTTGGTCGTTTTTTAACCCACTTCCCGTGATCCAATCGAGCTGACATTTTGCACACAGGCTCGTTGTGCGAGACAATGTTCGTGAAAATTTTTTTCCAAAATTTTACACTGTTTAGGGAAAACAAATTAAATATTTAATTACCAATTAATACTGCAGACAATCATCTGACCCATAGGTGGCGGCCATCTCAAGCCAGAGGACGAGAGGACTCTAGCCGCCACGCATATAAAGGATTTATAGTGAAAAACTTTGTTTTTACGGGTTAGTTTTTTTGAGGATACAGCAGACGGAGTGAGTTAAATATGATAATTCGTTTTTTTACCCTTTTATCTGGCAACAAAACTTGACACCTTTTTTACGAGGAGTCATGTTTGCATAGACCACAATACCTGCAGTCATAATGCAAACAAAACACACAACTCTGATAATGTATGTGCACTGTCCTTGAAGTTGATTGGTCCACACCCGAGACAGCTTTCCTTAGAGCCTAGTCTCACATGGTGTTGGACCAGATGACGCCAAAAGGCGCACAACTCAAAGACAATGCACCATCAGAGTATGAGAACTCGGGGTGAGCATTTCCATCATTGGAACCTCATTTGCCAGTAAAAAATATGATAATTGCTTTTTTACCCTTCTATCTGGCAACAAAAGTGACACCTTTTTTACAAGGAGTCATGTTTGCATAGACCACAATACCTGCAGTCATAATGCAAACAAAAAACACAACTCTGATAATGTATGCACTGTCCTTGAAGTTGATTGGTCCACACCCGAGACAGCTTTCTGTAGAGCCTAGTCTCACATGGTGTTGGACCAAATGACGCTAAAAGGTCCAACACCGATTATCATTTCGATTTAAAGCTTTCGTGACTGCAGGGATTCATCTTCTTGGTTCTTTCGGTAAAGTCGCGTAGAAGGAAAATAATAAAAACGTCGATGAAAATTATTTTATTATGTTTTATTTCTATTGTTTTCCTTCTACGTGACTTTACCGAAAGAACCAAGAAGACCAATAATCATATTTTTTACTGGCAAATAAGGCTCCAATGATGAACTTCTATATGCTTGAACGTTCCCCACGCGTTTCTCAAAGATGACACACGAGAGCGTCCCAACTTCTGAAGCGCCTTCAGGCGAGGGTGGCTTTTTATTTACAAAAAACAATAACAGCACACGTGGTGATACAGGACCCGTGTGTACACGCGCGGAATACTAAAATAAAAGAGTTGAGGCTCTTTGTTGATGAAAGGTCGTGAAGGACGCTACTGGGCAGTTGGAGGCAGTCGCCCTCCAACAACAACGGAGGGCGGAGGAGCGACGCTCACAACAACGAGCGGAGCGCCGGGTGGCTAAAGCACAGCAAGTTGGCACAGTAGGGGGCACAGGTGGTGCATCGGCCAGTCATCACGGTCATCTCGGTCAGTCGACCCATGGCACCTGCTGGGTCTGCCCCGTGACCTCCTGCCAGCGGGCGTTCGACACTTCACGTGGTAGCCTCAAGGTGCACTTGGCCTGGCACAAGCGTCGTGGTGACGTCACCGCCACTTAGTGGCGAATGGCGGTTGTTGTTGTTGTGTGCGTGTGTGTGTGTATATCTTCTATGTATATAAAAGGGACATTTGTGAATGTGTCTGTTCGAAATGTTTAGCGTACTTCCCAACATGCAACAAACTTGAAATTTGACATGTGGGTAGTTTCCAGACTGCACAATGCTAAAAGTATAAACATTTACTTTTGCATTTTTTGGGGGGGGAGGGGGGGCGCAAAAATTGATATAAAATATTGCACGCTAAGTGAGCAGTGACGTCACATCTGTGATGTCACCGCATGCGGCAGCGTCACCAGAGGTCGCAACCGGGTACCCGATACCCGTACCCTACCCGATACCCGGCTACCCGTACCCGGCCGGGTAAGGGTACCCGTTTGTGACCCTGGTGCGGCCGGGTACGGGTAGGCCGTGAGTCACTGGTGAGTCACCGTTTGTCACTCATTTCCCAACGTCTTGTCTCTTCTCACAATTCAAGTTCCTAGAATCAACCCACCCGCGCCTGCAACGTGGCTTCATCCCAGAGGTCGCAATCGGGTACCCGATACCCGTACCCTACCCGTACCCGGTCGGGTACGGGTAGGGTACGGGTACGGCCGGGTACAGGTAGCCGTTTGCGACCCTGGTGCGGCCGGGTACGGGTACGGGTAAGGAATCAAAACCCGTTTGCGACCTCTGAGCGTCACGCAGCGTGCCTGATGACGTCACGCAGCGTGCCTGATGACGTCACGCAGCGTGCCCGATGACGTCACACAGCGTGCCTGATGACGTCACGCACCCCCCCCCCCTCCCATCCTCCGCGTAGGCCGTCTATTAATCCAAGAAAAGAATCCAAGTCCCGGGCGAAGCGGTTGTCGTAAAGCTCGTTTAATATATAAATTAAATAATACAGATACATCATTGCTTGTTTGTCAGGCAGCTATGCTAGAGGGGGGGAGATCTCCCCCTAATACTGTGCCACGTGACCACATTGAACGCTGGGAGATGTTAACTACCTCGCCTGGTACACAGGAGGTCGTGGGTATCGATCCCGACCCTGACGCCTGCTGCTGTATATTTGGAGTTTGTGTGTGTCTCTCTCTCTCATCATCATCACGGTGGCGATGAGATGTTAACTACCCCCCCCCCCCCCCATTTTTTTTTTCGATTTAAAGCTTTCGTGACTGCAGGGATTCATCTTCTTGGTTTTTTCGGTAAAGTCACGTAGAAGGGAAGTAATAAAATAATAAAAATAAAACATAATAAAATAATTATGTTTTATTTTTATTATTTTATAAAACATAATAAAATAATTATGTTTTATTTTTATTAATTTATAAAACATAATAAAATAATTATGTTTTATTTTTATTATTTTATGAAACATAATAAAATAATTATGTTTTATTTTTATTATTTTATTACTTCCCTTCTACGTGACTTTACCGAAAGAACCAAGAAGATGTACCCCCCCCCCCACTCTCTCTCCCTGCTCCCCCCTCGCTCTCCCCCCCCCCCCCGGTCTCCCCCCCCCCACCCCCCGCATCTCCCCTCCCCCCACCACGCATCTCCCCCCCCCCCCCCGCTCTCTTCCCCTGCTCTTCTCTCTCCCCACTCTCTTCCCTGCCCCCCCCACCCCCCTCGCTCCCCCCCCCTGCTTTCCTCTCTCCCCACTCTCTTCCCTTCCCCCCTCGCTCCCCCCCCACCCCCCCGGTCTCTCCCCCCCCACCCCCGCATCCCCCCCCCCCACCCCCGCATCTCCCCCCCCACCCCCCACTCCCCCAGCACCCAGCCCCGCTCATGTGGAGGAGGAGGTGGTGGTCGCGTGCAGGCACTGGGACTTCTGCCGCCCTGTAGGCCTTGGCGAACTCCTGCGCCTCGCTGTCCGAGGAGCGGCCCAGCAGGACGGCCAGGATCTCTGCCTCTGTCGTGGCAGAAGGGTAAGGGGCGGGTGGGTGAGTGAGTGGGTGGGAGGGTGGGTGAGTGGGTGGGAGGGCGGGTGAGTGGGTGGGAGGGCGGGTGAGTGAGTGGGAGGGTGGGTGAGTGGGTGGGAGGGTGGGTGAGTGGGTGGGCGGGTGGGTGAGTGAGTGGGAGGGTGGGTGGGTGGGTGAGTGGGAGGGTGGGTGGGTGAGTGGGGGGGTGAGTGGGTGGGTGGGTGAGTGAGTAGGTGAGTGGGTGAGTGGGTGGGAGGGTGGGTGAGTGGGTGGGTGGGTGAGTGGGTGGGTGAGTGGGTGAGTGGGTGGGTGGGTGGGTGGGCGAGTGGGTGAGCGAATGGGTGAGCGAGCGAGTGAGTGGGTGAGTGAGTGGGTGAGTGGATGGGTGGGTGAGTGGCGGGTGGGTGAGTGGGCGAGTGAGTGGGTGGGTGGGTAAGTGAGTGAGTGAGTGGGTGGGTGAGTGGGTGGGTGAGTGGATGGGTGGGTAGGTGAGTGAGGGAGTGGGAGGGTGAGTGGGAGGGTGAGTGGGTGGGTGAGTGGGAGGGTGGGTGAGTGGGAGGGTGGGTGAGTGGGTGGGTGGGTGGGTGGAAGGGTGGGAGGGTGGGTGGGTGAGTGGGTGGGTAAGTGAGTGAGTGGGTGGGTGGGTGGGTGAGTGGGTGAGTGGGAGGGTGGGTGGGTGAGTGGGTGAGTGAGTGGGTGGATGGGTGAGTGGGTGAGTGGGTGAGTGAGTGGGTGGGTGAGTAGGTGAGTTGGTGGGTGAGTGAGTGGGTGGGTGGGTGAGTGGGTGAGTGGGTGGGTGGGTGAGTGGGTGAGTGAGTGAGTGGGTGGGTGGGCGGGTGGGTGAGTGAGTGGGTGAGTGGGTGGGTGGGCGAGTGGGTGGGAGGGTGGGTGGGTGGCGGGTGGGTGAGTGAGTAGGTGGGTGGGTGAGTGGGTGGGTGAGTAAGTGGGTGGGTGAGTGGGTGTGTGAGTGGGTGGGTGAGTCAGTGAGTAGGTGGGTGGGTGAGTGGGTGGGAGGGAGGGAGGGAGGGAGGGAGGGTGGGTGGGTGAGTGGGTGGGTGGGTGAGTGAGTGGGTGAGTGGGTGGGTGAGTGGGTGGGTGGGTGAGTGGGTGGGTGGGTGAGTGGGTGGGTGGGTGAGTGGGTGAGTGGGTGGGTGGGTGGGTGAGTGGGTGAGTGGGAGGGTGGGTGGGGGGTGGGGGGTGGGTGGGGAGTGGGTGAGTGGGTGGGTGGGTGAGTGGGTGGGGGTGTGGGTGGGTGAGTG